CAGTGCCTCTTTCTCAGAAGGAAAACCAGGGGATGCTCCCTATACTTCCTTACGCATTTTCTTTGAGGCTATTTTGAAGTTGGGCAACCAAGGTCTCACTACCTTCTCTGAGAAAGCCAGAGAAGGTAGTGAGAAGGTATTTTCAGGTGTAAATTTATGGGGCAAGATCCCTGTGGAAGTCAGCAATCTCTTCCCCTTTCTAGCTGCTTTTTAAGTGCTTTCAGTAGAAGAATAACATGTTATTGATGATCTCTTAATGAGTAATTACAAGATATGTAAGAATATTCCTTTATTATAGGAATAGTATAATATTCTCACCTCTCCCCCTTTCATAGTGCCTGCCTGATCTGATTTTTTTTGCCTGGGAGTGAATGGGTAGGGCATGGGATAAATCAGAATGGCTGGGACCAGGTTGAGCTGTGGTTTACCCTGTGAAAAATGACAGAATATCAACTCCTGGATAATGACCAGGTATGTTTTATATGCTTATATCCATACTTCCACATACATTCCCATTTATGACAAAGCAGTTCCACAAGCAGAAAAGGCAAAATTCTCCTCTTCTGATTCTTACCCTTTTATTCCTTTTCCTTTCCCCTTTTCATAATGTCCTCCTTCATCCTCAATTATTGCTCACTTGCAATAAAGCTGAGTTTGCACACACCAAGTCCTGAGCCGCCACAGCCGGGAGCAGTTCCCATGAGCACACCCTCTACCCCAGCCCAGTAGAGGCAGAGTTCAGCCCCCCAGCAATCTATCTGGTCAGACTGGTGGAGCAGCTTGTGAAGCAATCCTGCTGGACTGAGCTGGTTGTAGACAGATAGAGGGCTACAGGGAGTAGAGAGCGTGAGAGCCAGCCAGACACAAAGAAGTAAATAGGCCTAGGAGGGGAGACAGAAGACAGCAGGCGGCCAGGCCCAGCATCTCATGAGCTAGTTCAACCCTCATGGCAACCCCAGTGGAATAGGCCAAGCCAGCACAAGTGAGCCAAATCCTGAGCTCATTTTAATGGCTTCTGTCCCAAACCTGAGTCACTGGGGATTCCACGGATTTCAAGACAGCCCTTCATGCATTTCCAAAAACAAACTGCTTGATGCTGTCATGGAAAACCTGGATCTTTGCATTCTATGGTTTCACTATGGATTACATCCAGGTCACAACCTAAAGAAGACAGCTGGCAAATCACCCTGCTGGGCGATTACCCAGCTTTTGTAATGAATCCCAGAGGGCTATGAGCCGATGTGTGTTTCTGACTCTGCCAAGTCCTGGACAAGTCCTCGCCAATGAAGACCAATCAGTCTGATTTATTCTGCGAGGGAAGCCTGAGAAGCCACCTGCAATCAAGACTCAGCTGCTAGACGCTGTTCCAGAAAGGAAAGGAATGGAGAATGTATGTGTCAAGGGGAAGAGGAGTGAAAGAGGTTCTTTGCTTCCCTCTCAATTCAACTATCTTCTGCTTAAAAAAAATAAATAAATAAAAGAAAGAAAGAAAGAAAAGAAAATTCTCTGAGGACACCCTTAGTCACACCAAAGTCAGAGAACTGCTCTGTACTCTTCAGCCCTGACTCAGGCAGGCTTTTAAGGGACCAGAGAATATACTATACAGTGGTTGATTTCAACAGAGCAAGGTCAATTATAAAGGCTTATTATAAAAGACACCCCTATTCCTTACAATGCAGCAATTCTAGGAAACATAAAAAATATAAACCTGCCAAGAACACAGAAATACTTTAAATTTAACAATCATATATATCTACACATTATTATGTGCCAAGCTCTGTATTAAAGCCTCTCTCATATATTATCTAATTAATTCTCAAAACATTATACCCACTTTACAGGTGAGAAAACAGAGGCTTAGAGAGGTGAGGTCATTTGGGAAACGTCACAGCCACTTTAAGGTGAGATCAGGACTGATCCAGAATCAAATGAGGCTTAGATTTTTAATTGCTACTAAGAGTAAGTATGGAACACCAAGGGCATTTATGCACAAGTACTTAGGAAGTGTTAGCTGGGTGTCCACATAATGGGACTTGAAGGTAAATCCTGCTATCTGGGTTAACTTAACAGTGAAGAGTGGTATTTATTATTTTATAAGTAATCCAAATCTTGAGATTTCCACTGAAGTAGAAGGTTCTTTCACACCAGCTTCTAAAGTCAAAATATCAAGATTATTTATGTTATGTTTTTTATAGACAATGAATGCTATAACACCTGGGGCCTATTCTTTAAAATTAGGTATAATAAAGGAATATTCTTACATATCTTGTAATTACTCATCCAACTGCATTTTACAAAATTGCCATTGTTGCCAAAATGAAAGGTGCAAAAATAAACAGTCTGGATGTATTTCCAAAGAGTTATGCTGGCAACAGCCTCCTTCCTCACCATTTGTTTCGGTGTCAGTTCCAGGCAGGACTGAGAGAAAGCGGGCAAGAGGAGAAAAAAGACTGATGCTCACAGCTGCTGCAAGTGCTTGGCTGAGGCTGGGGCTGACCTCGTGCTGTTACAGATTGGCCAAGAGGAGAGAAAGCTTTCTCAGCCACAGATCCAAGGACCATGGAAAACTGTCATTTATGTTGGCTTAACTGCCTGGTGTAGACCTTCCTGAGGGGAAAAAGCCCACTAAGCATCCCTTACAGATACCTCTCACTCAACCCCAACACGAGGGAGTCGGCGGACTAGTCCTTCTTTCCCGTGATTTCTTCTCAGAGGGATGCTGCTCAACTGGAAGGAGCACAGCTTCCCCTGTATTTCTGTGCTTTGTCTTAGATCAGTGGGCCTTAGAGAGATAGTCTGACTACACAGGAATCTCTGCCTCCTGCCAATTTAAAATTTTTAGTAATTGCAGACTTAAGATCCTATGTGTATGCAGGGGGAACATAGCTGAGGCCTGATACACACAGTTGAGAGAGAGAGAGAGAAAAGGAGAAGGAAGAGAAGGAGGAAGAAGAAGAGGTCAGAAATAGCTCATTGGAGTATGTGAATAATAGCAAAGATATGTTCTAATCTTTGTGCCAAAACGAATGTTCTTGCCATTTATATGAAATAGCCAACAAGAGCACCAAAAATTTTGTTGGATTAGTTCACTTTACTAGAGACTGAATTCAATGGACTAAACACTGTATTAAAAACTGCATACAAATAGTCTTTTAGACTGACGGTATCTGAAGTTGTTTCTGCAGGACTGTAAAAACAGGTCTGGTGGTATAGCCCAAGAAGTCCCAGCCCTCACTGTAGATGGCCACTAATTTGCCTGAAGATAACTATTTCTCAGGATGAAAAGCATTCCTAGGTATGACAAACCCATTTCACCTGCATACCAGCATATTGATAAAGCTCACTGTAAATGCATGGAAAATTGCCTCTCTGGCCAACCAGAGACTAGTAAATTGTGTGCTGGCTTCCCTTCATCTGCATGTTCACACTGACTTCCTAAAAGCTTTTGGTAACACTTCTCATCAAAAGTTTGAAGATATATACATGAAAATAAACACAAATCCTTGAGGCCCTGTGTGTCTGAAGGGAATAAAGATAAATTTCAAATCATACGTGAATAAAAAAAGAGGACAAAGTTTCTTCTTCCCCTAACCAAAGCTGAAATCAAAAGTCTAAGAAAAACAAAAACAAAAAACAAGGTAATGTCATATTTCCAAACTTCCTATTTTTCAGAAGAGGAACATAGAGAGGTGGTACACTTATTTCTGGGCCCATTACCCCCTACACACACACACACACACACACACACACACACACACACACACACTCTCTCTCTCTCTCTCTCTCTCTCTCTCTCTCTCCCCCTAAGACTTGAAGAAGGAAAACATCTTATCAGCTGTTTTTTTGGGGAAAACCCTTTCTATCTGTTTACTTGGAAGCCAGCCTGTTGAGCTCAAGAGTGTGCTATAAGGCAGACTAGAGGGAATTCATTTAGGCTGTTTCTAGGCCTGGACAACAGGTCCAGCGCTTATCCTCACTGTCAAGGAGTTCTGTGCACACACTTTAGCATTTGCTGAGGATGGATGAGTCATTCATCGTGCCCTTCAGTTAGGGTTGCAGGTGGATTGGCTGTTTCTCCTGTTAAGAGTTCAGATTAATAAACAGCTTGGTTATGATTGTTTAAATGTTCATTTCTTTTCTGAAAACCAAAGCAAGAGTCTATTCCTCTGCTTCCTTGAAGATGTCTTCATTCTGCCCCACATGCACGCATGTTTCTGCCATACAGAACAAGTCCCTTTAGCCCAGACAAACTGATTCCTTCCCTTCTTGGTTCTGGATCCACCTTTCAAAGCCACGTGGCCAAGTCCATGAAAGAGCTGGTGGCCTTGGAAGTTTCTTGCAGCTCACAGCCTCCCTCTCTGTAAGGAGCTCATACTTTAATTTCCACCGATTTATAACCAGCTCGTCAGTGAGAAAGCTCCAGAAAGTGGGAGTTAGTTTTATATTTTCTGATCTGTACAGAACACTTGCCAGGCTCCAAGAGACAATTTACACCAGCACACGAAACTCAGAGCAGCTGATACTAATTCCTTCCCCTACCAAAGCTGACATCATCAGGGTTGGGCTGACAGTGGTGGCAACCAGCTCCCCTCCCTGCATGGACACCCCACACTCACTCCTCCTCAGCCTAGAGTGCTTGCTGCAGGTGGGACCTAACTCCTCCATGGATTCATATGTAGAAAACCTGCTTTTAATTTAATGGGAAAAGCAGAGTCGTCGTTTCTTCAACAAAACCCAACAACTTAGAACCCGAGGAAATAGCAATGAACAGGAACACGAGAGCAGAGGAGCAGACACTTCCCACAAAGCGGGGAGTCAAACGGGGAAAGGGGTGACCAGGCAGCGCGCCCACGGTGCTGAGAACAGACTTTTGCAAAGTCAACCTGACCAGACAGAAGAGGGTCTTCCAAACCCGCAGTCAGTGAGAGAGCAAGTGTGTGTGCCCCGCGCACGCAGGGCCCCCTCCCGCTCCCGGGCCCCTCCCCTCCGCGCACACCTACCTGCAATGCCTTGCAACAGCCCGCAGACGTTGAAGATACTTTTCTTCATGATGCTCTGCACACACATGGTGAAGACGGACACCAGGGCCACCATGCAGAGGATGAAGATGCCCGCGGCCAAGAAGATGGCAGTGGCCTGCCAGAAGCCGCTGGCGATCTCCCCGAAGTTCTCGGCGTAGGGCCCGCACAGCGTCTCCCGCGGGACGTGCTGCACCCCGGGGTTGCGGATGCAGCGCGCGTAGATGCCCAGGGTCGGGTGGTGGGGCTCCGGGGGGCCGCCCCGCTCCTCAGGGTCCGTGCCGGAGCCGGTGCCGCCGCCGCCGCGGGTCTTGGCTTTCCCAATGAGCCAGTCCGCGCTCATGAAGGCGATGAGCTCCGCGAACGCCACCACAATACTCAGGAGGGTCCAGAGCATGGAGCGGCAGGTGACAATGACATGACACATATTGCTGCTGTTGAAGGCGGGAAAAGGAGGGAGTCCACGGAGTTCACAACACAAAGCCGGCGGCGGCGGAGGCGGCGGCGCGGGGCGGCCTCGGCAGGAAGTCGCTGCTGGGGGCACTCACGCCCACAGCCCAGGGCTCCTTTCTCCGGGATCCTGGCGCCGCTCCTGGGCTGTCATGCTGCCATGTCGGCCTCCTCCGAGCTCCGCGGCCTCACCTAAGGGAGAAGAGGAGGCGGCGGTCAGCAGCGAGGCCCCGCCCCTGCAGCCGCAAACTTGCCGGTCGGTCCCCAAACCCAAGCGTGAGCTCTGGCCGGGCTGCGCCGCTGGCTCCCCGCGCTGCCGCCCTTCCCTCCCGCAGCCTTCCCCTCCCACCCGCACCCTCCCGCCCCGGCCGCCACCGGGTCCCTGCAGAACCTCCTGGAGCCGGTCCGCTCCCCAGCCAGCACGCGGCCCTTCTCCCGAGCTTGTGGTCTTTGTTTCCTCCCCAAACTCTCCCAACTGGCTGGTGGTTACCCTTATCTCCCGGCAGCGTGACAAAGGCAAGAGGCCCTGCCAGCCCGCCCCCCGCCACCCGCCCCCGGGGCGCCCGCTCCATCATCTTTTCAGAAAAAGTCAAACCGCACGGGGACCCAGACAGATCTAGACATCCTGGCAGGGAACCGTCGGCAGACAAGACGGGCTGCGCTTTTTAAAGGGCACGGGTCTCTCTGAGAGCGGCTAAGTATGAAAAACTTGCACCAAAAGTTTGTGCCTAACAGCAGAGAGCAGCAACACCTAATGTTATTGCCCGGGAGTCCAATTACCAACAGGGACATACGAATGTTTGCTTCATGGGTGAAAAGAGAATAAAAGGAAATAATGCCATATAAAAAAAAGAACACATTATCACGCAAGCTGTCTTGTCCACCCATTTTCTCAGAGGGTCACTGTAACTTAAACTAGGCTAATTAAAATGCAAGAAGAAAAGAAACTCAGGAGTCCATGACCTAGTCACTTGGAGAAAGGATTTAAAAATGACCCTTGACTGTCATTCCCACCGAGTGGATTTGTTGACAACAGAAACTTGCCTGTCAAGAATGAACTGCCGCCATTTATCACACGCGCCTCTGCCCCAGCGTCCACTCACCCCAGGCCTGGAACTCAGCATGCCCATTGTGTCTGGGCTCACAAGGACTCATTCTCTTCCCAAGGACCAATGGCTTCATGACCAGAGGGCTTGGCTCTCACAGCTCAGCCCTCCCTCGGAGGAGCCTGAACCCTGACCGGGGCCCCGGTGCTCATGGGCAGCCCCCGTCTGCCCCTTCCCCAAGGTCGGGAAGCACCGCACAGCTCACATCTGACGTCCGGGCACATCTGTTCTGAACAATTAGATCTTACTAACCCAGGCCATGTCAACTGCATAAGAACCACAAAGCCCCGTGGCATGTTGGCAGCTGGTAGGGCAGGGGGATAGGAAAGCGCAGTGCAGAAGTTTCTGCCACATGCCCGCTGACGTCTGGTGAGGGACAACTACTTATCTCACAAAGCACAATGCATTTGAAAGTCCTCACGCCACTGTAGTTATGTAATGCACTGTTTTAGGAGATTAGCGCAATCTAGAAACATAGGCACTTAATAATTGTCAGTGTGTGAGTGTGTGAGTGTGTGTGTGTGTGTGTGTGTGTGTGTGCGCGCGCGCGTGAGATGAGACTGTTCCGGGTCATGCGTTCAAATGCCTGAGTTTCAGAATCCACCAGGTCTGGTTCCCAAGCCAGTTGCACTCCTGACTGACCATGCTCAGCTTCCTCATCTGCCAGATGGGGACAGTCAGAGTGCCCCGCCTCATGACACCGTGGGGAATAAACAAGAACCTGTCAAAGCACCTTGCTCAGTGCATGGCATAGTAAGTGCTCAATAGACACCAACTCCTTCCCCTCAGGAGCTTTCCCCCAACAGGGATGGCACAGGTCAGACAATAGTGTGACTGAAGGGGCTGCTCAGCAGGTAACAGTGCCCGGCCACTGCACACCGAGAAAGAGTACCTAAGCACAGGCTATTTAGAGATGAATGAGGTCACTCGTGTCTAAGCTTCCCTGGTGGGCTTTCCGGGCGGGGCACTGGTCTGACTTTCTGTTTTCCCCACTGCCTACCCCAGCTGCAAAATTCCACTGTGGAAAATCAATTAGCACCAGGCCAGTAGTATAACTCACTCCTACTCACTCATTCCCGAGTCCCCATCCCCAAATATCACCAAATAGAAACGCCTTTGAAGAAAACTGAATACAACAGAGCCTTGGAGACTGTTTGTAATGAACTGGCCATTCTGGATGAGAACAAGAAAACAGGCCCACGACTCCCCAGAGTCCCCTCCACCCACCCACCACACTCATGGACACTTGGAGCCAACCGGTGGAGCCCAGCCTGTTAGGAGAAAATGAGGCTTCTACAGCAGTCTTCCAGTTTGATTAGAACCCCAATGTACCGTTATGCCAGCCCATCCCCCTCCCGGCCCCTCTTCTGTTCAATGGCAATTGCTCAGTGAATACAGACCTCCACGGATTTGTCCTCTGGCAGGCCCTCGGGATGCTGCTACTACCTTTTAGGTGACGTGGTTGCTAATTACTATGCCAAGTGACCACTGTCTTGGCCAGCGAACTCTGCTTAAAGCCAGGAATGCAAGTAAGTTGCAACTCCTGATGAGAAAGGATATGAAACTTCAGAAGGGAAGAGGGCACTCACGGGCTTAGCAAAATGGTCTGTGCCAAACTGAAGGCCGGATTATTTAAACTGTGCTTAGTTTAGACTAGATAGTTCCCCGTCCTTTTGTGCTAAAACAATCCACTGCACCAAATTCTTACATCCACGCCGGAGTGGCTGGACTGAGGCCATTCTTCTTCTTTGTTGGTTCTCCCCAGCTAGTTTGCTAATGACTGCTATCACAGAAAGAGCCCGGATAGCAGGGCTGACAAAAAATGGAGCCTCCAAGGAAAGTCTTCAGGTTGGAGGAACAAGGGAAAACCTGGAAACAGCACAGCAAGGGCTCCAGGGGGCCTGTGTTCTGGAAAGTGTCGCACTCTGGCTGCGTCCCACGTGCAGGGATGCCTGCTGACACAGCGTCTGTATCAAAGGGGAAGTAGACCCTTGCTAACCGCAGGGATTCGGGCACAGAAAGTCTTAGCATGGAACCCACTGCTATTCAATGCACTTCCTGCTTCTTCAAAACGCACTTAATAAAACCAGGCCCTCAATGACATTCCCTATAAATGTCTTCTACCCATGGGCTACCCAACTCATTCCCCTCCAGGACACCTGACTTTACCATCACATCACTGATGGGCTAAGGGTAAATGGACGGCCCTTTGACACTCAGAAAAGGATGCCATGATTGGCATAATGATCATCTGAGTAAAGCTTTTAGCAAGTAATAAAACCACCAAACAAATGAGAATTCTGCAGAAACCTAGAGTCGTACTGCAGTCCAGAAAACAGAATGGAGGAGTTGATAAATGGTTGGTCTGTACGGCCAATTATACTGTGCTCTCCACAGAGCCCTGATGGTTACAGAAGGGCGAAGGTGCTGCGCAGAGCCAGGCCCAGTCTGCCATGTGCATCCTGGGATCCTATCTCTGGCAGCTTCGCTGTCAGTGAAAAGGGAAGAACGTGTGTGTGAGGAGAGCCACCAGTGCCACTGGCTAGGAGGTCCCTAAAGACCCTGGGAGCCAAGCTCCCACCCAGCTAGAAAGGCAGAGGCAGACCCAATGCACGGCTAGCAAAGCTGCCCCAGAAACCACACGGCCCACTGGCGGCAGCAGCCAGGCCCACCAACAAGGCCACGGCAGACACAGTTCTGAAGAACACGACCTTGCTTGCTCACCTGGGTCTGGTTTTCAAGTTTATTATGAAAATTTGCAACACAGACATAAGCTACAAAGAACCATGAGCACCCAGACCGGTGTTAGCATGTTGCCACACGTGCTCTGTCACTGTGGTATACACAATCACCAGCACTCGCACACACACACTCACACATTTCTTTTCTGGACTGTTTGAAAACGAGTTGCAGATGTCTTGACACTTCACCTCTAAGTACTTTAGCATACACCTCCTAAAAATAAGGACATTCTCCTACGTAACCACAATAAAATTAACACGCCCAAGAAAACTAACAATAACCCCTGATAGTCAAAGCATAGGCCACATTCAAATTTCTCTTCTCCGCCCCATTTTAACAGCTGTTTTCTTAAAACCATGACTCAATCAAAGCTCATGCACTGCATTTGGTTATGTGTCTTTAGTTTCTTTTAGTCAAGAATGGGCCTTCCAACACTAATATTTCCCTCCCTGCCCATGATCCCCCGATACTTTTTTGAAGCTACTGGGCCAGCTGTCTTACAGAATACCCAACCATCTAGATTTGTCTATTTCCTCACGAGGCCACGTAAGATTGCTCTCTATCCTGTTTTATAGAAACTGGAGGTTAAGTCTAAAGGCTAGTTTAGATTCAGCTTCAATATTTTGGGGAGAATCCTTGGCAGGTAATGCTGTATGATTCCTACTGTGTCATATCTGGGAGGAAAATGACTGGGGCTACACTTCCGAATCAGAATAATTTTACAAATGCATTCATATACATGGATGTGTATTTCTCTCTCTGTCTACCCAGAGAGAACATGCAAAGGTCCTCTCTGGTCCTAGAGAACCTGGATTATTGTGCGGAAGTGGCAGAAGGCAGACCTGGGCAGGTCCTGTGTTTTGCAGGCTCCTTGGGTGGATTCTGATGCCCGGGTTGAGAAACCCTGCCCTGAGAGATGCCATCCCAGAAGCTGAAGCAGTCCTTTTCCATAGGACTTGCATTTCTAAGAAATGTTTGCTGTGCTTCCTTGAAATGGAACCACATTTTCTATGTAGCTTATAAAAACACAGGAAGATCTGCAGATAGAGGTGAGGGGGGAGGGGAGCTAAGGAGAGATCTCGATGAGGAGAGATCTGTGTGACCAGAAGGAAGGGCCTTCCTTCCACTA